GTCTACTGCAACGTCTGCGAGACCCTGCTGGTCGGGCTGCGCAAGCAGGGCCTGTGCTGCACCTGTGAGTGGGGGGGCCCCTGTTCCCCACCCCCTACATGGGCACAGGCGGGGGAGGGATCCGCCCCTGGAGAAATGGGCACGAGCTGGGGAAGGGCTCACCTGGGGTGACCTGGAGAATAACCCCCTGCCTTTACTGAGGGTACTGCAACGTCTGCGAGACCCTGCTGGTCGGGCTGCGCAAGCAGGGCCTGTGCTGCACCTGTGAGTGGGGGGGCCCCTGTTCCCCACCCCCTACATGGGCACAGGCGGGGGAGGGATCCGCCCCTGGAGAAATGGGCACGAGCTGGGGAAGGGCTCACCTGGGGTGACCTGGAGAATAACCCCCTGCCTTTACTGAGGGGTGGTGAATGGAACACCCCAGGGAGCCAGCAAGGCCCCGCCCACCTCTCCCTCAGCCAATGAAAGACAAGCAAATCAGCATTATGTTGTCCTCTCAAACCGCCATTGGCTGGGGGGGGGCCCCCCGGATTGGCTGACCTGCTCTCAGCCCAGCTAATCATTGAGCAGGGCCCTTAGCGGGGGAGGGCAGGGTGTATGTGGGGAGAAATGGAGGTGGGACTAGAGCAGCTAAGCCCCGCCCCAGACCAGCTGGTGCCTCCTCCTGGTCACTAACCCACTCTGGTGCCCTCCTCTGCCTCCAGTCTGCAAGTTCACGGCTCATGAGCGCTGCGCCCGCCAGGCGCCCCCCAGCTGCATCAGCACCTACGCCAAGTCCCGCAAGGACACCAGTGTGAGTGGGGGGCAGGGGACCCCCGTGTCTGGTCATCTCCTCCATCCCAGCGCTATGCTCCCTGGTCCCCAGAACCATCCTCTGCCCTCAAGTACCTGCTGGCATGATCCCTCACCACGCCTCCCATGCGCTCACTGGCCTGACTCTGCCCGTGGGGAAACTGAGTCACAGAGCGAGGGAGGGAATTGCTGTGGATAGGCTGGCAGACTCTGGGACTAGAACCAGAAGTCCTGCCTCCCAGCCCTCTTCCCCCCATCCCAAGATAGAACCCAGGTATCCTGATTCAGAGCCCCTCCCCCCGCAGCACCCCATTCCCCTGCCAGAGCCAGGAGAGAGCCCCAGTGTTCACTGCTCCTGTTGCCCCCAGGCGCAGAGCCACGTGTGGGTGAAGGGCGGCTGTGAGGCCAGCAAATGCGACAGCTGTCATAAGAAGATCAAGAGCTTCCAGAGCCTGACGGGGCTGCACTGCGTCTGGTGCCACCTCAAGGTGGGTGCGACCTGTGCTGGGGAGCTGCGGGGGGGCAGCTTCAGGGGCCATGGGGCTAACCCCCGTCTCCTCCAGATCCACGAGGAGTGCCAGCCCAGCGTGCCCCAGACCTGCGACTGCGGGGCCTTGCGAGATCACATCCTGCCCCCCTCGGCCATCTACCCCGTCGTCCTGGTGAGTGAGTCCCCACCGGGGACCAGCCCAGAGCTCCTGCCTAGGGCTTTATGGACCGGTCCGTGCGCTTTGGGAAGGGGAGCCTTTCCCCTGCTGGGGAGAGATCAGATGGCGCAGGCGAGGGGCTCTCTGGACCCAGAGCAACAGCTCGGCCCGTGACCCCGGGGGGCCCTGCCTCGGGTAACACCCCTGGCTCTGGGTTCCAGGAGAGGCAGAACAGCCAGAAGAACGCAGCCTTTCACCACGCCCGAGGGCCAGGCACTGCTGGTGAGTGCGGGGGAGGGGGGGCTGCTCTTGAGCGGGTACCTGTGGGACATGGGCACTAGGGGGCGCCAGTGCCCTGAGCAACCCAGTTACTTCATGTCACTGCTGCCTCCTACTGGAGCTGTCAGGGTGCTGGGCTGGGCGGGAGCTGCCGGGCAGCCCCTGGGGCATGGGTGTGGGGAGGACACACCCCAGCCTGGAATGGACACGCCCCGTCTGGGCGTGGCCCCAGAGCAGGGTTGGGACCAGGATTTCATAAGAAGGAGCCAAAATGAATGACGTTTATCCCTGCCTGGAGCTAGGCTATCCCCCTGCCCCAGTGAGCTATGCCTGTCCTGTGCGGTGCCCCTCAATCCCGACCCGCAGCACCTGCCAGCCTAGCCCTGGGGCCCCCCAGAGCTCTGCTGATGCCCCTCACTCCTGCGCCGCAGCCTCCTGCTAGCCCAGCCCTGGGCTTTGCCATCTCCCATTCCCTGGTCCATATGCACAGAGGCCTCTCCCTGCTGGCTCCTACAGGGCATGGCGGCTCCCTCTGGTGGCAGAAGGTGACCATGCAGCTGCCTCCCCTGAGCAGGTATGGCTGGAAGGCCCATTGGGTTTGGGAGTTGGTGCAACCCGGTGCCCTTGGGCACACAGAGATACCAGCCCCTGCACGTCTTCCCACACTCGCGGTGGCATGTGCACGCCCAGGCTCTGCCTTACACGTTCCTCTCTT